GTTGTTTTCCCTTTGTACTGAATGTATTTATGTAAAGACATGAATGTGTTAGAAACAGACATAAGTACTGTATTGAGATTGTGAATAATGTGAAGGACATCTGATACTTGTGAACATGTTTCAAAAAGGAAAATCAAGTGTACGTCCGGAAAGTGGGAGAAAATGTAATGGGCTTTGTGAAATTGTTTTCAAGAACTTGTTATTGTCATATGAATTTTGAAAAAGGTAACATAATGAAAGAAAAGTAAAATGCTTATGTTGTTGAACGAAATGAATGATTTTGAGAAAAGTTCCTATATAAAAATATTTCTATAGAAACCGTCACATTATGTATATGATATGATCTAAAGCATTCCTGATCATAGCTACCTGTATGTTGTTATTGTTTAGAATCATATTGGGATCCCTACTGGACTTTATGTTCATTCCACGTTGCTAATCCTTTTTCAGGTGAACGTCGAGAAGGGTTTCAAGATCGAGGATCTTCTTTATGTGTTTGCTACGGGGCCTTTTATTTGTAGGTGGAATGCCATTGATGTAAAAGGGTTAAACCCCTTCTTTTAATTTAAAAGATGTAAGCCGACGGGCAATTTATTTATTTTTATCTCATGTTGCATTCATTTCATATTTGAATGAGAGAACCTTTAATAATAGTACTCGCTAATGTATTAAATTTCTGCGCATGATCTCTGAAGTTGTGTTATAATGAAGTATTTGGGAATGGTATCCGTTGATATAAAAAGTGGGGCATAACATAATGGGTCGGGTCTAAACCAGAAACACTATGTTATCTGAGTTGTATTTACCGCCCCTTGAACTTGATTTAAGTTATTGAATTGTTGAGATTTCAAGTTTTCATTATGCATGATGGCTTTCAAAAGATGAAGATACGACTTTCTTTTAAAGGCATAGCATGGCGTGTGCATTTCATTTTATGAGACTTGCATGAAATATATATACTTTGTTAAGAAATTCTTACTAGGCTTTATGCTCACCCTATGGGATTTTGTGCAGGAAAAGATATGGTGACTCTGCCAAACTAACGGCATGGATGTGTATGTTGAGAGCACAAGGCTCTTGTTTTGTTGTGATTATATTTTTTGCAAGCCAAGGTCTATATTTGTGTGGGTTCGAGCAACCATTTTGTGTAGCCGGGCTTAAGACTTGGACTTTGTAGCCCTTGAGGGCATTTATTTACTTTTGACTGCATGTTTTACATACTAGAGATTCATGTACTAAAGTCGTTGAATGTATGTTCGCATGCGGAACTATTTTGTAAATCTCTTATGATTATGTATGCAAGTGTTGGAGATTTATTTCAGTTTACTGTAAGGAAAGTGGTTGGTGTACTTTTATCGTGTATTTTTTTTTTGGGGGGGCGTTACAGTGTCCCTAATCAAATTTAATAAATCAACTAAAGTTTCACTTTACATTATGTTTGCGGATTCCATGGCTAACAACGACATTAATACTAATAATGGCTAGAAGTTAGAGGATTGTGAATTTACTGTACACTACATGTGTTTAGATAGCATCAATAGGAAGAATGAGAGTCTCACAATTCTTGATTACAAATAATGAAAAAAATAATTGCATTTAATAGAAAAAACGTGTTTCCAAATAAAGAAAAGATTAGTTACGAATAGAACAAATAGATAAGGATAGATATTAAATTTTCTTATCTTATATGTATTTATCTATATAATATGGGAGTATAAATAATTATTAGTTTTTATAATTATAATTATTTAGGTCAATCCCATCATGTTTAACTAATTAGGTCAATTTGAACCGTTCAATATTTAATTAGGTCAATTCACACTGTTCTAACCAAATAATTGAATCAAATGCCCAAATTTTCTTCTAAACATATTTGAAGACCATCGTGTTTTTAAATATAGATACCTATAAAACAAGAAATAATGTCTGTCCATATCTATTTGCTCTATTTTTAACTAATCTTTTTTTTTATTTAAAAATAATTTTATCTATTAAATGCAATAATTTTGTTTCATTGTTTGTAGTCAAGAATTGTAAATTCTTCCTGTTGATGTTATCCAAACACATAGTGTTTAGTAAATTCCCTATCCTCTAACTTTTAGTCATTATTAGTATTAATATCACTGTTGGCCATAGAATACACAGACATAATATAAAGTGAAATTTTAGTTGATTTATTAACTCTGATTAGGAACACACCATCAATCGAATTCAGGTGAATGTTTGAATTTTGTGAATTTTATATTGATTTTATTTTATTATTATTATTACTATTTTTTTTCTTAGCATTGGTACGACTCGGTAGCACTTTCTTATGAATAGTTTAAAATTTTATTTAATTGGGAATGCCTTTAGGCATGGGTCATTTGCTATATAGTTTGAGAAAATAGTTAAAAATTGTAATCAAACCAGCAAATCAGTCAAATCGAAACCGACTAAGCCTATTCGGCCGGGTTAGAAGACTAACTAACTCACACAAAAATTAATTAATTAAAACTTTTAAAATTTAAATTGTATTGAATTGAAGTATGAACAACACTACAATATTGAATGGAAGTATAAGATTCATTTTATATAAGTGAAGCAACTCACTCAATCATTTTTTCCCCGATGTGGGATTGTATAAACTAAAAGCTAATAACTGTTTTAGGTCAGAAGTTTATTTCAAATCTAACAAATCTAACTAATATATTTTGATAAAATCGTTAAAATCGCGATTAAACCAACGAATCAATCAACTCAAAAACGGTTCAACCTAATCGGCTAGGTTAAAAGGCCAACCAACTTACATAAAAATTAATTAATTTAAATTTTAAATTTTATTTTAAAATTTAAACAGTTTTAAACTGAAGTATGCACAACACTATAATATTAAATAGAAGCATGAAGTTTACTTTATATAAGTAAAAAACTCACTTTATCTCCTAGACATTTTTAAAAATCAAACTGTTTTATTATATATATATGTGTGTGTGTGTGTGTGTATTTGTTTTTTTTTTAAACCCTTTCCCTTTCGTCTTGCTCCTTTGTTTTTTGCACCTCTATTCAGGTTTTGTAACTAGCCTTTTAACCATTCATAGGAAATTATGCCTTCTTTTAGTTGGCTTTTCGACAAAATATTTCACAAATTATAGTGGGAAGATTTAAAAAAGTTGCAGTAAAAAAGCTAACTATAAAAATCCTAACTAAACGACAACTACGTAAATACCGTTTCTTTACATAATGAGGTGATCCTAAAAAAAATATTTAATGAATCGAATACGAGTTGAGTTTGAATAAATTGATTTTTTTTTTTTATAGTGTATATAAGTTTATAGAGACAAGTAATAAGTTATTCAAGCTTTACTTCAAAACTTGAGGAATTTAAAATTGTGTTCAAATTTAATTTATTCACATAACGAGTTGATCCCAAATAAACTTTTAATGAGTCGAGTACGAATCAAACCCAAGTAGCTTAATTCGTTTGATAGCCTTACTGGCAACATAGTTGGACCCTTGGCTCACCTATGTTCACTTAGTTGCCCAGGATGAGTCCTTGGCTCACCCATGCACTCACCCTCTTGGCTGCCTAGGTTGGGATCAGGACTTAGGCACTCTCACTTGGGATCATTGGAGGATTGTGGATTGTGGATTGGAGGCTAAGACCTCAGGAACATCAAGGCCGTGTACCTATCTTCCTGCAGTGACAGTTCCACCTCGACTTGGTTTAGAGAAAGGAAATGTTGACCTTACACTTACACTTGTTGTATATATGATACGTCTCTCAAGATATCATACCTACACCTGCCGCTCCTATGATGCAACCTTCCTAAGGACTTGAATCATAGGACATAGCTAGTAGGGCTGATATCACCCTCTTGTCGAGTCGAGGAAAACTTGCCACCTGTCTTGAGGTTGCTTGGGCTCCAATACTCCTGTAGTCTATATAATGGCATCATAAGTGCAGCCACAATCATAACAAGAACAACAAGAATCATACAACAATATATACAAAGTGTTCAAGGTCTCTCGCTACCACCTCTTTCCTCTCTAAGCTTGCCTTGGTCTTCTCCTTTTCTGCCTCAGGTGATCTTAGGCCAATGAAGTGCGTGCCATCTTCCCAGAGGTCAACGACTGATCACCTCTAACCTCTTTTACCCACACAAAGTTTAGTTGTCATTTATACCCTCCTTTAGTGGCCATTAAACAAAGTTTAATCTTTTGGTTGGCTTTTACTACCCTGTTCTTTATTGTCTGTTTTGTACGGGTGAGCATGGTTCAGTTGCATTCGATTTTGACGTTAACCAAGACCAAAACCTACGGTTTCATAAAATTTGGAACCAAACCAAACCAGGAAAATCTTGGAACTAAACCAAACTAAACCATGAAAATGCAGTTCGGCTTGGTTTGGAACCACGGTTTTCATGAACTTTGTTATTATTCACAATATAATCATAACTAGTTCAAAGATCAAGCAATATATCATCATTTTACAAAAAAAATTGTTTAAATGATTGTTTAGAGCTAGTTATACTATTATATGAGAACACACTAGTAAGGGGTTAACAACTTATGAATATATATAGGATACTAATAAAATACTTGAGTGTATACCATAAATAACAAATTATACGTATGTATATTTTTAAACAGTTTGGTTTGGTTCCAAACCGAAAACTTAAATATAAAACCACAAACTGAACTGTGAAGCACGGTACAATTCACCTATTTTAAAAATCAGGACCGAACCATGCATTAAGGAAACCAAACCAAATAGTGCAGTTTGGTTTGGATTGGACCAGTTTGTAGTTTTTTATTATTTTATTTTTATGCTCAGCCCTACTGCTTTGGGGGATGCATGTTCTTCCTTCCCTGTTTGTACTTCCTCTTTTTTCTATTAAATTTAATCTTCAATACAAAACAATAATATGGAGGAGTAGATCATTATGGGGTTTTCTTTGTTGAGAATGTTGTGATTGATGAAGTGATTTATAGAATTGCATCTTTTACTTTGACGGCAGGGTGAGCAATGTGCATCACAATCATATGGTGTGAAGGTCCTAGGTTCTATTGAAACATCTGTAGTTGGTTTAAGCCATCTTTTTCGCACTTCAGCAGATACAAATGGGTCACAGCTAAAGAAACTTGCTTCTTTCCTTGGAAAGTGTTATGAAAATGCAAATGGGATGCTGGAGATTGTTTTAAGAAGAAACACAAATATACCAGCTGATGCAAATGCTGTGAGCATTCTTATTCCTAATCCAGAAGAGTTCTCTAAGGGAGGTACAAGACACTCTGCTTAACACTTACTTAGCCTATATCTTGTGTTTGTGTGAGTGTGTGTTTTTTTTTTTAATCTTTTAAATTTCATTTATATTGTAGATATTTGTGAACATAGTTTCATTTATAAAACTGAACCAAGTTATTGGGAGTATGGCTTGATACATGCATGTTTTAAATCCATTTGCGAGGGCAAATCCCGTGATGTACAATATATTTATAGTAAAACAAATGTAGTGATGCTTGCATCTATAGTATGTTTACTGTGTTTGATAAATGATATTGAAATGTGCCATGACATATTAGAGCATTCAGTGCAAGAAATAGATGTTGGCTATATTGAAAGACCACAAATTATACACTAACTGGAAGCATGTGGTGTGTGCAGGAAGTATTCAACTCGACCATCTAGTCTAAACATAGTCTATTGGTTTGTGGTTAGGATTTCAATACAATAATGATGTGGCACCATTTACATAAGCATAAGGGGAGTTGTACAAGTTAGAGAAATAGGGGGATTGATCATTGAACCATATTTAAAAAAAAAAGTTCAGGACAGTTAATGACAATTTTTATGCTGTCAAGTATTTTTGAGCCATTATCATGTTTATTTCTGTTATCAGAATCTTGCGATTCGCTATTTGATTCCTGATTCAATTCGCAATTTTTGCAAAATCAATACGAATCTATAGGTGAATATATTTTGGAAGTGAATCTATAGTGAATCGCACGATTCACAATCGATTCACGATTCAATTTATTTTTTACAATTCATGTAATTTTTAAAACTATTGTGTCCAACATATTTTTTGACTCTTTTTTTCTCCATCTTTTTAGTGAAAATAGCATAATACAACTTTTAATAGCGTTTAATACCAAAATAACCAATATATTTACATGATTTGTTATTATTTTAGTGATCATGGAGTTTTTAATAGGATCCAATCAATTCGGTCAGACCCAACATGTTTTTAACCTTTCTTCTCATTTTTTCTTTTAAAAAACCATAATATATCTTTTAAAAATGTTTAAAATTAAAGTAACTTACATCATGAATTATTTATTACTATTTTATTACATTAATTATAGTTGAATATTTCATGGGTGAGGTCAATTATACATTTTAAAATGTTTTAGGTTTTAAAATAAAATATTCTAGATAATTCTTTCTTATTATTTGGTCATTGTTACTTGGAAAAGTATGTATATTTAATGTCCAAATTTCAATATGGTTAAATTATTGTTACTTTGAAAATTGAGAGTTTGTTTTTGTTTACTATCTTTATTAAGAATGGTTGATAAGAAATATTTAAAAAAGGAAAAAGGTAAGATGGTGATCTTATATAGGAACCTTTGTTAACTTCTTACTTATTAAACTATGTGATCATCATTCAGAACAACAATTTCATTGATTTAAGTCTTAATGTTTCAAATTCATAAGATATGTTTAACATCGAAGTGTGTAGATATATTTTTCTAAGTAATTTATAATAAGTGACCGAATCTTTATGATTCACGATTCGATTCGCGATTCGGCACGAGGCCATTTTGATTCACGATTCGAATCCCGATTTGACAATTTATATAAATTTATGTTGAAGAGTTCCTCAAGTAATGCAGATTTTCTCAACCACTTGAGATTTGTTGGGTCAAAACTCTTGGATCCTTAGATTTGGGGTCTATTGATGTCTAAAAATCGTCGTTCAAAAACTACTTGCAAAGACTTATGATATGGATATATAACTACTTGCAAAGACTACTCATCGTTCAAAACCTACTTGCAAAGACTTATCATAAAACTTATGATATATAACATATGATATGGATATATAAAAGATTAAATGTTTAGAGTTAGTTGATCTAATGTAATATAGTAGGGAATCCAAATATTTGATAAATAGTTGTAGCGGTTCATGTGTTGATTTTCCCGTAACATGGGGTGATGAGTTCGAGTTTTGTGTGTCAAAGCCCCATTGAGGAGATATGTTTTAATTTTTCCAAAAGGCTAGCAAAATTAGTTTAGGGTCATATCTAAATGTACCCCAACTAGTTTGAGCAAGTTCCTTATAATTATGTTTTAGACAATAGACCTATTATGACTGCTTAAATGGGTTGATGTTTAAATGCTTAGAAAGCTTACATAGGGGAGGGTAAGCAAGCCAGCAAGGTGAGTCCAAGACCGTCCTAGTGCATGTCGCTTACTTTGCCGCCCTATTGAATTGTAGTCTGGATACTTTGCAGTTTGCTCCCTTAATCATAGTGCTTTTATTGCCTTAATGTGCCTCTCATTGCTTTGTTGTGCCTTTACATTGCACATTAGTTTGTGCCTTTATTTGTTGCTCATTTGTGCACCATGGGAGCGTTTGCTTGTTGCAAGATAATCTTTGGCAGGCTTGCTTGGTGAACATCCAAGGGAAGCACCACACAGGCCCTATGCTAGTATCTACATATCTTCATTCTAAATAGCCTTGTGGTAAATGGTAATCAAATTATGCTTGAACCACCAAAAATTATTGCATCTAGATAAAAATTGAAAACCTGAGAAAGATGCTCTCATCTCTCTCTCTCTCTCTCTCTCTCTCTCTCTCTCTTAAATTGGGCTTTAGTAGTGTACAATATGAGCTCTAAATCAGTATTAGGCATTTTGTTTTTTTGGGAGAAGTGGATTTTTGTAGAAACCCTCATATTTCTGAAGTAATGTTGTCAAGAGCGCTAGACATATTAAGCAGAATACTAGCATGGTTAAAGTAGCATTAAATATGTAGACATGAATTCATTTTCTATTCCAAATCCATTAAATGCTTGCCGTTAGCTTCTATTGCCCTAACTGAGGTTTTCCCTTCGATCCTGAAAGTGGTTCCTGAATATAAGTCCTCATTTGTGGCACTACAAGGTGCTTCCATGTTGCATTTCTTGCGAATATGATGCTTTCAATTTGCATTTATTGGAAGCTGATCTTTTTCTCCATGTGTGTTTGGGCTATTGTGCTGTTACTACTGCATTTCAATTGTCAGTTTCGCTCCTTGCACTAGATTGCGTTCAACTTGGGTTTCTACCAAGAAATGTTGCAAAGTGGGTTGCTCCTTTATCAGATAGTGGCTTATTTAGGTTTTCTGGATATGTTTATCCAAAAGAAGTCCTTGTGACTGCTTTAGAAGGAAGCACCGGCTTAGTACAAATGATACTGTATGTGTCACAGTTACTGGTGATATGACAAAAATAATAGCATATAATATTTTTCTAGATGGGATGGGACTAGAAGTGCAGTTCCAATCACACCTAAGAGCACGTTTAGTACAATGGAATAGGCTGAAATGAAATGCTCATTCTAATTTTGTATTTCTTTTATTTTTTTTTTGGTACGCCTTATCTAAATAGGAATACTTATTCCATTAGTAACACTCAACAATTTTGCTTCGTCTTGTGGTTCACTTGAATGATTGCTGATTTGAATAGGCATTTCAATACATATGCAAACACAGAATTGATCACAAAATTTATCACATAAAATATCATCAGAGCAACACTACAAAAATTTCAATTTTTTGCGACGTCAAAATGGCGTCGCTAATACTCCTAATGTCGTCTCAAAAAACTTTTAGCGACGGCAAAGGAGGGGTCACAACAGAGGGACGCTGCTAAAACCTTTTAGCGACGACGCCTTTTTTTTGCGATGGGAAATGTTGTCTTTTGCGACGGCATTTTACTATTGCCTATATTATGTAAAAAAACTGACCCCTTTTGCGATGACACTGTTGTAACGTTGCTAAAAGTTTTATTTGAGACGGCAAAATATGTCGTCACCAAATGTTTTTTATTGCGACGGCATGACCTCTGTCGCCAATTTCTTTTACGACGGCATTTCCTATGTCGCCAAAAAAAATATATTTTGGTTCTAATTTTTTTGCAACAATGTGGTGCCATCGCAATAAATAAATAAATAAATAAAAATATTAAAATTACCTGTATTAAATGAAAAACAATTGAAAAAGAAACCAATAATTACATAATAATACAAAAATTCCTGTATAGAAATAAAAATTTCTCCATAATAAAAATATTCTTGCATTCATAACTATATATAAGCAAAATTACACCACTACATAGTGTTCCATAATACATATATACTGTTTAAATACATAGTGCTATTCACAACTCAAAATAACATAAACCAAAAACAAAAAATTCCTTCATCATTCTCCGTAGATAACAAAAACAAAAGTTAGCCGCATTCTTCACAGGTATGCATTCCACCAAAAGCAAACTTCTACTCGGGAAATATCTGAAAACAAAAAATAAAAATAATTAATGACAATATAATTATGTGTTAACATGTTAATTACAAAAAAAAAAAAGATAAAAATTTAACTACTATACAATTACAAAGATAATTAAGTAAATAATTTTGCCTAGACTGAAATTCGGCTCTAACTCCCAAACCGGGAACCCGATTCAAGTCCCGTCTTCTCCCAGAAGTCTCCCGTGCCTAGGCGGTCACGTATGCCAAGTTTCATGCTAATTCAGCATCGTTTGGTGATTTTGGGGCGTCAACACCTCGAATTCTAAGTTTCTTAAGGAACTAGTTTGCCTAGACCGAAATCCGGCTCTAAATTCCAAACTGGGAACCCGATTCGAGCCCCGTCTTCTTCCACAAATCTCTCATGCCTAGGTGGTCGTGTGTGCCAGGTTTCGTTCTAATCCGATGCCGTTTGGTGATTTTGGGGCATCAACACCTCGAATTCTAAGTTTTTTAAGGAACTAGTTTGCCTAGACTGAAATCCGGCTGTAACTTCCAAATCGAGAACCCGATTCGAGTCCTGTCTTCTCCCACAAGTCTCTCGTGTCTAGGCAGTCATGTGTGCCAAGATTCATGCTAATCCGACGCCGTTTGGTGATTTTGGGGCGTCAACACCCCAAATTTTAGGTTTCTTAAGGAACTAGTTTGCTTAGAGTGAAATTTGGCTCTAACTCTCAAGCTGGGAACCCGATTCGAGTCCTGTCTTCACCCATAAGTCTCTCGTGCCTAGGCGATCGTGTGTGCCAAGTTTCGTGCTAATTCATTGCCGTTTGGTGATTTTGTGGCGTCAACACCTCGAATTCTAAGTTTCTTAAGGAACTAGTTTGCCTAGAGTGAAATCTGGCTGTAACTCCCAAACCGGGAACCCGATTCGAGTCCCGTCTTCTCCCACTAGTCTCTCATGCCTAGGCGGTCGTGTGTGCCAATTTTTGTGGTAATCTGACTCCGTTTGGTGATTTTGGGGCGTCAACACCTCGAATTCTAAGTTTCTTAAGGAACTAGTTTGCCTAGACTGAAATCCGACTCTAACTCCCAAGCCAGGAACCCAATTCGAGTCCCATCTTCTCCCACAAGTCTCGCATGCCTAAGCGGTCATGTGTGCCAAGTTTCATGCTAATCTGACGGTGTTTGGTGATTTTGGTGCTTCAACACCTCGAATTCTAAGTTTCTTAAGGAACTAGTTTGCCTAGAGTGAAATTCAGCTCTAACTCCCAAACTGGGAACCCGATTCGAGTCTTGTCTTCTCCCACAAGTCTCTTGTGCCTAGGCGGTCGTGTGTTCCAAGTTCCGTGCTAATCCGATGCCGTTCGGTGATTTTTGGGCGTCAACTCGAATTCTAAGTTTCTTAAGGAACTAATTTGCCTTGATCGAAATCCGGCTCTATCTCCTAAGCCGGGAATCTGATTCGAGTCCTATCTTCTCCCACAAGTCTCTCGTGCCTAGGCGGTCGTGTGTGCCAAGTTTCGTGTTAATCCGACGCCGTTTGGTGATTTTGGGGTGACAACACCTCGAATTCTAAGTTTCTTAAGGAACTAGTTTGCCTAGATCGAAATCTGGCTCTAACTCCCAAGCCGGGAACCCGATTCGAGTCCCGTCTTCTCCCACAAGTCTTTCGGGCCTAGGCGGTTGTGTGTGCCAAGTTTTGTGCTAATCCGACGTCGTTTGGTGATTTTGGGACGTCAACACCTCGAATTCTAAGTTTCTTAAGGAACTAGTTTTCCTAGAGAGAAATCCAGCTGTAACTCCCAAACTAGGAACCCATTTGAGTCTTGTCTTCTCCCACAAGTCTCTTGTGCCTAGGCGGTCGTGTGTGCCAAGTTTCATGATAATCCGACGCCGTTTGTTGATTTTGGGGCGTCAATACCTCGAATTCTAAGTTTCTTAAGGAACTAATTTGCCTAGACTGAAATCCGACTCTAGCTCCCAAACCGGGAAACCAATTTATGAACTTTTCAGATTCCCAAATACAAAACTAATGACTAAAAAAAAGCAAATAAAATAAAAAATAAAAAAATAAAAATAGAGTGTAAGCGATTACATTGTTGTTTTTACTGCCAGCACCACTTCCAGTCCTTTGTTCAGTACTCATTGGTGTCTTTGCAGATCCTATAACCACACAAAAAAATCACTAAATCAGATAATAATAATAATAATAATAATAATAATAATAATAATAATAATAATAATAATAATAATAATAATAATAATAAATAAATAAAAATAAAAAAACATCATCCAATCTTGATCCAAACATATACCGAATTGAAATGATTGAAATGAGTCAATAGTTTGCATTGGCAATTGTGAATGTGTAATTAAAGAAGTACAAAAAAGGAAAACTAAAAAAATAACAAGTGCATCACTTTCTGGAATATGCAATGATAGGTATCTAAGATGTCAAAGCTACAAGATCAATTGTTTCAGAAAAAGTGTTCAAAAGATTAACAAGCAAAAATAGATCTCCAAGACAGTGGCAGAACATCCAAAAGTATACATGATTCCAACATTTAAGACCATGTAGTTAATGAGCTACTAAGAGATGAAACAACAAATTGGTCCAAAATTAAGAAGACTAAGAAAAAAGGTCAGTGATTGTTTCTAATCTTGATTGAAACTCAAACCAACTCACATTTGTTTCTCAGAAGGCAAAGGATCATTCATTCTATGTTACATTGCTCTCTTGAAATAGGTAAGCTCCCTGGAATTTTAGCTATATTTTGTTCACTTTCTTGAAAATTTTTGTGTAAAATTGCGCGGCATTGATCTAATTATTTTTCTCGGTTTCTTTTCAATGATTTTTTCTTTTCTTTTCTCCATGACAGTGTTAGGGTTTCAAACGAGCTCGAATTAAAACACTACATTCATCCTGACTACATGTACAATTTCAAAAAAAAATAAAAAATTTCCATATCCCTCGCTAGCATTTTTTTGTTCTCCTCTTCACAATTTTAAAAAAAAAAATCTCCATGATAGTGTTAGGATTTCAGATTCCATTGCAAGCTATTGATCTAATTTTCATTCTTGGTTTCTTTCGAACAATTTATTTAATTTTTTTTTCATTCTATGCAATTTATTTAATTACCAAGGTCCTCAATAGTGTTCAACCTGATATTTTGAGCATTAACCCATTTAAAAACTCAACTCTTATTCTAATGTTTATAAATTTCCCTTTATGTTTATGAATTTGAAAAGACAAAAAAAATTAGAATTAAAAATTTCTTAATGAGTTTTCTTCAACCACAGGAGAGATTGATGCAGTTCAGTGAATCAATGCAGAAACAAAGCAACAAAACACAACAATTTCAAACAAATCTAAGGGTTTCAATGTCCTCCAAGCCAATGTTCGATCAAATATGAAATTGTTATCTCATTTTTCTCTCTAGAAGTACGAATTAGTTACCTGGTGAATGAGAGAGGAGAGATCTAGATTTGTGTAATTTAAACTACAGATCAGTTAAGAAAATAATCAGAAATTAGAAAATGATTTAAGGAGAAAATAATCAGACAAATCAAAAATTATATACGATTGATTTATACATGTAGAGAAAGAGAGTGTAGAGAGAGAGAGACGATGAATCAAACTCACAAAGAAATCGGATTCTAACAACCTCGCCTGTACATGTACAAGAAGTAGATATAACTAACGAACCAGATTAATGATGAATATAAGTCTTACGCTGCACGCTGCTCGCTGCTCGCCGTCGCTCGACACCGTCGTCTGCCGCTGCTCAATACCGTCTCACATTGTTGCTGTCGTCACTCGACGCCGTTGTCTGCTGCTGCTCGCCATCGGTCAATGCCATCGTTTGCCCTGCTCATAGTCGTGACAGAGAGAGAGAGAGAGAGAGAGAGAGAGAGAGATAGAGATAGGGATTTTGGTTCAAAAGATTAGGGATTTGAGATTTGGGGATTTTTGG